GGCGGTCCGTGTTCACCCTGATGAACTCAATGACCCTGATGACCCGATGGAGAAGGAATGGATTGACGAACTCAAGGGCATGGGAATCTCCAAAGGAAGACTCCACTATAGCGATGGATGGTGCTTTCCCGTGGCCGTAAGAGCAACCTCAGCACACTCATCGGACGGCGGAGGTTATGACGTTACCATCAACATCGACCACATTGGATCGAGAATGACCAACGACATGGCCCTATCCATGGTGACTGCATTTCACGCTACCAATCTTGGAGCGCTGACTTCAATCATGCGACGGGGGCTAGTGCCAGGAGGTCTCGGTTCATCGGGAAGGGATTCTATCCACTTCACATGTTTTCCGCCATGGGCCTGGGAGCAGGGCTACAAGGGAAAACCTTGGCTGGGTCGTAAGGTCGCATTGAGTGATCGCCCAGTGGTTCTCTACATTCCGGTGTGGAAGCTGCAGGAGTACGGGCTTCTCATCTCAGCGACTGGATCTCTATTGGTTGAGGACGTCGTTCCCTTCGATGAGGTTAAAGGGGCATGGTTGCAATGCGACAATGCAGAACCCGGACAGCCTGAGGAGATCGAATGGATCAGGTTACTCAATAGAGAACCCGACCCTGGAAGCTACCTTGTTCTGGAGTCCAAATACGGAAACCCGATCATGACTCCACGCTATCAAAAGCTTGAGAGTTTGGCGGTTGAGGTCCAGGACGATACCTATTCCGAGGACGACGCCAAAATCTCAAAGCTGTTGGGCATGATCGAGGAGAGTGGTATCTACCCAGAATATGATAGCACTGAGTGGCAGGAAATCTTTGAGGAGATCGTATACCGCCGAGCAATGAAAGACTACGACTCAAGACCGTGTCCTAACTGTCTTGGCGAAGTCGATGTGCGATTGACGATATGTCCGCACTGCGTAGCGGTTTTGATCGCGAATGGGAAGCTCACGCATGTGGTACCCAAGGAGACAAGGGACCGCAATCAACGATCACCTCCGAGAGATGTCCCAGCCAGTTCTTCCGGTGAAGCAACTTCTGCTGCAGGTGCAAACATCGATGAAGTCATCAAGAATGCACGCAAGACAGCCGAAGAAGTCATTGACGTCGAGGAATCCGAAGGAGAGGAAGACGAGGAAGTTCCTATCATTTTGAAGGAACGACCGGACGAAGCTGAAGGCGAACCCGAATATCGGGAGGTCCCTCAAGATGGATATAGAATGAACTTCCACAGCCTTTCCCCTTCGCAATTGACGAATTGCCACAAGAAGCTGCGATCCCCATCGACCACAACTTTGCAGTCACACAGCAATTTGATCTGGGGTTGATGAAGTTGATCAAGAGCTTGGCCAACGCAACGTTCGACATCAATTGCTTTGAGAGTCGTGAAGACGTACTGCGAAAGTTCGACGATGGACAGCGGCATGACACTCCATACAACAGATGGCCAATAGTACCGAATGATCCGGATACTGGGTTTCCAAGACGCCTTCAGAGAGCCGAGGTCGTAGGCATGAGCAAATGGACCAACGACACGTATGCAACAGAAGCAATCCACATTCTCGAGAGATGGTTCTTTCGTGAAACTTGGGTTGTGGATATGCAGTTGCATCAAAGCACTTGGACTCAGCTTGGGTGAGCGATGGATTTGCTGACCCACAAAGCATTCAGATTGGGTGAGCAATGGGTCTGCTGGACCACACAGCATTCAGATTGGGAGCAATGGATCTGCTGGGCCACAGAGCGTTCGATCTCTGCTGGCCCAAAGAGCAAACATCAGTTGCGTCCTACATAGAAAAATTAAGAGCGCTGCGCCTGCTACGAAATCAGCTTCGCCATCATGACATCAGACATGATTTCCAGATCTAATCACCTGGTGGGATCTTGGTTTCAACATACCGGCCGGTGGGCTCAGCTAAAGAGGACCGTGGCTGCAACACAAAGTTTAAAGATGCTATATTCCTGGTTTTCATTTTGAAACTTCCTCGAAATTTCCTTCACCAGCATGTGTTTAAATATCTTAAACTATAATATTCAATATGTTTTATTCCAACCACTGTTTGCTGTCTGTGTTCGAACGTTTAGTCGTAAACACTCACACCGACACCAATTGAACCCTTCCTTTAAGAAATCAACTCGCACTGTGAGTTCATTCAGTCTGGGCTTTGCACATCGAAAAGATTGCAAAGAACTGTCCGGCCGTTTGTCCTTTTTCGCCAACTGTTGCAAAAAAGCATTGGGCCAGGAAGTCTCTCTTGATCTTCCCAAATGGCTGGGTCCCGCAATTGGTGCAAACGCACAAAAATTGTATAGTGGTGTTCATCAAGTCCACACCACATAAAGACTACTTGCACCAAAATCCGCTCATTGTCAAATCACTCAAAAATGATCTTGTCCACATCGAAGCCCTTGCCAGATTCTTTGGCCTTCGTGTACGATGGGTAGATCGTCTGCGAGGGGTGGTGCACGATCTTCCTCCAAGTTTTCCCTTTCAAGTTGCCGCTCTGGCGTGTCCATTCGAAGACCTGCCGGACTAGACTGACTAAAGCAAAAGGTTGCGGGCGTGATTCAACATCATAGAAGAGATCACAGAAACAGCAATTCCTAACCTAACAGAATTTGCAGCATTGAACAAAGCTAACCTAACCCACAAACAGAACACTAGCCTCCCAATCACCCGTGGCATCTTTAAAGGATCTCTCGGCGTCGGGGTACCAACCGGCAGCGGAATCAGGACCAGTGGAGGCACTAGGTTCTTTGGCTTGCTCAGGTTTGGAGTGCGCTGGTGCTTCCTTTTTTTGTTTTTTCTCTGGTGCTTTGCTGACAGCATGAGAAGCAGCAGGCCTTTTCATGCAAGTTTTCAGCATTGCAGCTGGTCGTCTTTTAATTTCTGGCTGTTCTTGCTCTGCAATTTCTTCTTCCGGTTCAATGTCGCTTTCTTGGAAGAGTGTCTGCAAAGAATCGTCCATGAACTGCTCGGGCTGCAAGGGCGCCGAAGTACTGCCTTGGGGGAGTTGCTCCGTGGGAGGGGCAATTTCACCCTCGAAGGACTTTGTGTTCGCAAACTCGTCTGGCAATAGTGCTGGTAGGGAAGGCGAAGGGTTCTGTCTGACATGTTCAGGCGGTGTGTTCAACAAACTATTCGAACTTTGCGTTGAGAAGCCACCACTGTCTGCTTTCAACCTGTCCGTAGTTGAAGGCGAGTAGAGCGCTGCTGAATCTAAAGCACTGTCGCGAGCCCAATGCTGAGCCATTCGGCGCAGCGCCGCGTCACGAATTGCAGCAGCATCGCGGCTCATTTCCATAGCTACGCGAAACCAACAAACACCTTCGACTACTAGTACTAGCGCTACTAGCAGTTGCTGAATATGCGCGGTTGCAGAAAAACATTCAGGGCTCATAGGTCCACACGTCAGCAAAACCCCGGTGCACATTGTGTGAACATAAACTTGTACGCGTTAATGCATGTGCGAATGTAAGAAAGCATGAGGCAATAACAATAAATGAATGAAGGCCTGAATGCAATGCATGAGTGTGTCACACATGCTCTGTCTTTGTTTCTTTCTTCTGATGATTCTCCTTTCTCTCTCCCTTTCTCTCTCTCTCTCTGTCTCTTTTTCTCTCTCTCTCTCTCTCTCTCTGTCTCGCTCACTCTGGGCAATTGCTTAAATGTGTCACAAACTTTCTGTCTTTGTTTCTTTCTTCTGGTGTCTCTCCTTTAACTTGACTTTCCCTCTCTCTCTCTCTCACTCGTTTTCTCTCACTCGTTCTCTCTCTCTCTCTATCTGTCACTCTCTCTGTCTCGCTCCTCGGTTCTGGCAAATGATGGATGAATTATTGAATATTGGCTGACAAGTGATGGGCTCTGGACAGATCGATCGGCTCGAACGAAAAAAGGATGGATCGATAGTTATTTGGATAGCTTTTTGGGCAAACTCTCAATGCGCCTGACCTCCATGAAGAAAACAACAACATCTCACAATATCAAAACGAGATACGTGTATATAAGCTCCTTCAAAACCACACTGTGTGTGTGTGTGCGAAACTCTCTCTCAAAGCGACAGAAGCACCGTTTCACATAGTTGCCCGATACACAAACACAACAATTGAACAATCAAGCGCTTTCGTTTGTTTCGTCATTTGGGTTTCGCAAGCAAGTCAAGACTGGAAACTAGCCCCAGGGATCTAATTTCCGATCCTTTGCTTTTCAGGACACTTAATTAATGCCAAACAAAACCTTCAAGGCGTTGTAGTCTTGCTCATACGTATCTGGATATTTGCCCGGGCCAAACGGCTCAGGAAACAGGATGGGCCCTGGCTCTCGCGCCACAATCACTGGATGGCCACATTGAAGCGCCGCCCTCACGGATAGGGATATCTCACCAGGGCGGTAAACCAACGGCCCCTGCGGGAGGAACAAAGGACCATCTTCCCAAACAGTTTCCAAGTCGATGGGTTCCGCTTCAGATTCAAGGGAATCTGGTCCCCAAACAAACTCACCGATGTGCTCTTTCATGCGGCGCAATTTGGGCGTGCACTTCTTGGATCTTCTCTTCAGCCACAGGCGGTGTTTGGCTCTCCATGGGACAAATCGAGGTTGGCGTGCCATGACCTTTGGTAAGTAGAAATTGGCCAACCTTGCTCCCTTACTCTTAAACTCTTGAACTCAAAACGGTCAAGACAAGCGCAAAGCGTTGAACACAGAATTGGCAAGAAACTGAGCTCGAAGTCTGCTGTGAGGCTACCTAGCTCAAAAAACAGTGAACTAGGCATCCGATGCGTCTAATGTTTGCTTTCTTTTTTTCAAGCCCCAAGGTCTTGAGTCTTTCGCTCGTACCCCGTCACATGATAGGTGGCTCAAACTCCTTTCCCAACAACTGCTAAACGACACATTGAAATGTCTGCAATCGCAAATATGGGTTCCGGCTATAAGCAAATGCGCTAAGTGCATAGTTACGCTGTGATATGGAAAGAAAGCCACGGCATGTGACACCAAGACTAGGCGATCTCTACCGGCTCCTTGGCCTTGAGGCTAAGAGCCTTGGATGTCAGCACGTATGGTTTCTGAATTTTCAGGCAGGCGTGTACCCGCTCGAACCTCCACCGAAATACGCCTCGCACACACTTGGAGCTGCTAACTGCCGCCACGCTCTGGCTGAAGAAGTTTTTCATCGTGGCAGACTTAGTGGTGTCTGCCATACACTGGTACTGCATCCGATCCTTGAGCGTCACCTTGAATGAATCGGGAGAGCTGGAAGTGGAGTCTGTGACGCGAGTGACCTCGGTATAGGACAGCTTGTGGGATGCCACCTTCTTGACGGATTCCAAGTGCACAAGAAGTTTGTACAGTGTAAGGCATTCAACCTGAGTCGACTCGGCGTTGATGGATGACATGTCCATGAGACACTGTGTGCGGTCTCCCTCTGGCCACACGAGTTCCACTCCGCTCTGGCCATCCGCACAAGCCACATACCTTGAATTTGGCATTTGAAACAAGCCTTTCAAATGTTGGATACAAAACCGAGCGCGCAGTACAAAACGACCACAACATGTAACCCGGTAACTCATCACGAACAATGACGTAAACATAGATCTGGTCCCCAATCTAACCTGTCACCCACTATGTCCCCCCTTCTTGCGGCATACCTTCGTACATACCAGAACAAAAAGAACAATGATGCCTCCATTGATAACAAGATACTTTCCTGTTCCGTATCCTCCAAGCAAAGTCCACTTGGCAAGAACCCGCTCTTTCTGCGAAATCAAGTACAATTTTCCCGACTTGGTCCGAATGAGCTCAATGCCACTGACCTCTGATTGACAGCAGGACAGGATGGGGTCAACCTCAGCGAGCTTCTGCTCAGAAGAAAAGGTCACAGGTCCAGGTGCATCCTCACCAGAATCTGTAGGACCAGGAGCATCAGGAGTGGCACCACCGTCAACATCACCATCATCTGCCACTGGCTGGGGGGGGTTCGCTCCCGAAGCTCCGCCCTGAGAAGAGATCGCATCTTTCAGCATGCGCATGTAGCGGGCATCGTGGTCAGCTTTCAACGTAGCAAACTTCTCGCCAAACTCACTTCCGGCATTTGTCCACTGTCGTACTTGGTCCGGGTGTACAACAATTGTCGTACCTTGGCGAACGCACGCTTTGAGACCCATTGCATCGATTGCGTAGATATACTCTGCTCCGGGGATGCTTTTTGATCTCCTGCCAACCAATCAACAAGGGGGAAGCAAGTCAAAACAAGAAGAAAGCTGAAACAACTGACCCACAGCACACTTCATTCATAGTTGTTTGCGCGTTCGAACTCTCTTAATCTTTGACTTTTTAAAATTCTGTCCACAGAACAGGTTTGGCTACCAGTCCTGGTCGCTCAAAGTGATCTCAGTGTCATCGTACCGGCGCCCCTCAACTTCAAGGCGCTTCGAAAGCCACGCGTCCAGCAATTCCCGCGCCACTCGGCGACGAGCATACTCGTTGCCACTTGCTGTGTCCAGCGTGTGGACAGACAAATACCACATATCTGCAAAGCTGAAGCCGAGCTCCCCAGACACACTGCCTTTCGTGCGAAGATTCAGTACCTCAAGCAATTTTGATTCCCACAAAACCCATTCAAGCTCAAAGAAAGAAAGAACAAATGCGAGAAGAAACTAACTTTCTTCGGCGCACGCAGCATTGTGTCTGACATTAAAACAAACACGCTGAAGCCCCAGAAATAGAAAGATGCCCGAAACCAACAAAAATTGGTGACCGCCACAAGAATGCAAGCGAAGCACAGCAAGAGCCAGTTCCTCCACATACCCAGTCCAGTTTACCACCAGCACAGGGCCCTTCAAAGGAGTGTACTTAATCAAGCTCTCCAGGAGGAGCTGTAGCCGAGACGCTCCCTCCTGTGCGCTTTGCTGCTCAGGAGAGGGACGGGACCTCTCTGACAAGCGAAGGTCAGACTCCGGCGAGGCAGACTCTGGCAGGAGGAGGCTTGAAGCTTTGGGCAGCACTGATGTAGGTGCCCCAACAACTCCTTCGTTTGCGGAAACCGGGCGCCCACAGACTGCCAACTCGCTCTGAAGCCACTGGTTGGATTCGATGGTGTCACCGTTGACCACTATGCGTCCACTGCTGAACCTTCGGACATTGCTCCTGCCTTCAACATGTTTTTCCCTCGTGAGCAAGTCGATCCAACGCGTTTCAACGTGTTGACGAAGCCCGAAGCATGCCTCTAGAATGCCCTTTTCTTCGTCAAAAAGTCCACGCAAACAGCTGTCTCTGGCATGGTCCGGAAGGCACATCAGGGTGCAATTCAAAGCAGGATTCCCAGTGTCGTTCACAATCGACATTGCCTGGGTGAGCGCCTGGACTGCCTTGCCACCCCTAGCGCCGGGGACATTGAAGTCAATGAAGCCAACCGTGGAAACCATATCCAATCCAACTCCACTGTCTTCCGCCTCTAGCAAAAGTTGACTAGGTGGAAAACTGGAAAATTAAAACCGTGTTCAAATCCGGAATCAACAAACACATGGGGAAACAAATGTCAAAGTGGGTTCTGGTTCCACAACCAGTTGCGATCTGAAGCTTGATCTTGCTGATCTCGGATTTTGCAAGCTGCGCAGAGTCACATGCCATTACTCGCAAGTACTTGTCCTCCAACAGGGTTTGCCTGGTTTCCCTCAGCCTTACTTGGATTTTTGCACACATCCAAAAGCTTTGACACCTTTACTATGTACAATGCACCATTCGGTCGAAAACTACTAAAACACCTTTGGATAGGTAGGTGTTCGCAACCGAGTCCTGGTAGTTGGAACAGGCAGATTCAGCAGCCGCAATCAATTTGGAGCGGTGGGCGACTTGCTTCACATGGAGCTTCTGCTTCACCGCGGCGGGGGCTTTCTGAACGGTCTCCATGAGCGTGTGATCTTGCTCCAAAGCAGTGCAAAAGTATCGGAACTGGGCAGCAACCACTTCCTGCCTTTGAGTCTCAACCAGCTCTGTTTTCTTCCGCTCAGTCTCCTGCAAATCATCTTTCGCTTTGTCCTGGTGTGACAAAAGCATCGACATGGAGAAGGTCTGGGGACGGCGATGTATCAAATGAAGCAAATCTTCATCTCGGCCCAGACCACTTTCCACATCAGAGATCCACTGGCCAAACTCCTCTGGAGTCGTTCTCGACTGAATGTTCCCAGAAATCTGGGAAAACAAAGCGACCAAGTTCCTCATCCGAAGCAACTCTTCCGTTGTCAACCTGTACTTTTTTTTCAAATGGGTTGGCACCATTCCGGTCACGCGATCGAAAGTCTTCCGCACCCTTGTGAACAGCAACCTCTGGCCCTCTGCGCTCAATGGAAGGGTCCAGTCCAGCGTGATGAACGACTCGTGGGGAAGTGGCTGGGGGCTGATGGTGTCCATCTCCGGGTCCAAGGGGTCCAATTTCGCCACACTGCCAATGAACATGCCCGGCATGGAGCAAAACCCTTCTCCATAGGGGCCCTGGTTGAAGGGTAGATCGTGTGTGGAACTGATCATCTGACCGAATGCTTCAGGGCTTGTGGATTGAAGCAGGTGCTTGACCGCCTTCCCGGGCAAGGCGAACAAGTTTAGTTCAATATGGGTCAACTAGTACAAAACAACAAAAATTTAGGAACATATAATATACGCATACAAGAATCACTTTGGTTTGATTATTTTCAGCCACCGTCAATCTTGCCTGCTTCTTGCGGTTGTCGAGGGAAATAGGTCCGGCTCCGCCAGATGCTTCGAGAGCAACTACTTCTGGGTGAGAGTTGTACCGCAGCATAGCACTTTCATAGGTGTTTGCAACTCCATCACTCAGTTGGCGCAAAATGGCGCACCATGCCAGTGAGCTCACTGGTTGTACTCGGGCGTCGATGTTCTGCTTTACGATTCGTGCCACAGCGGAATCAACATCATCTGCATAGCTCCCTGAACTACCCTTCAGGACCGTCCTGATCCGAAGAAGTGAGCTAGCAAAAGCCTGAAGACTTGGACTGTCCCCAAGTTTGCCCTCGTTGTGGCTCAGCTTTGAAGCGATGCACAAGCAGATCCACACGATGAATCCACCAAGGGTCTTCTGGGATCCATCATTGAAGTACAAACTGCCAAGCGCCAGGTTCACCGGCTTCAATGTCCCGCAAGGCAAGCGAAGTGTCACGGTCTCTCCCTGCCATGATTTCAAACAAGCGCGCGCATCCATTACTATTAACTGACTTTCCTCCAAACCAACCCATTCAATTTGGGCTACGGGTTCTTTTCAAGCCCATGATACAATGTGGGCCTGCTTTCACAGCCCGGGAAAAGCAACAGAGTTGTGAAAGAAAAAGGAGGAGATTGCCTGTCACTGTGTGCCTTGTGTCTCTCAACCTCACCGGGAATGAACTAACATTTTCGATGTATCAACAAGGGCGCGGGAAATGCAGACATCTAGAAAACACTCCAACACACCTTGAAAAAGGATTTGTTTTTTCTTGAAAAGCACAAATGAAGCCAAATGAAGCCACGTAACAACACCGGTCTGGTGCTTCTCAAGTACTTGTGGGGCCCGGGAACTTGAAGGACCTGGCTTACGTAATATGGCCCGGGTTAGGTTCTTTTGGGTCCGGGAACTTGAAGGAATGGGATGTAATTCCTGGAAAGTCAAAATCTATCCATGTTGGCTCATGGCCCAAACACCAAATCATGGAGAGCTACTCGCTGAGTAGCTATCCATGACTAGACATGCACATATGCAAGGGAATTTCCGGGCCCTTGCCCAAAACTTTGGCACGTGAGATCCGGCTCTCCATGACCCCAGGATCATGGAGAGCTACTCGCTGAGTAGCTCTCCATGATTCCATTGAATCTGACCCCCACATCCCGGATAGTCTATGGTAACTTACGCTGCCGCACCTAAAATGCCACAACGTTTAGGGTTTAGGGTTTTCCCGGGCTAAGATTCTTAGTTGAAAATTCTCTTACGCTCGATTCGTGATTTTCCGGAATGATTGGTTTTGGATTTTCTCGGCGTGATTTGTGGTTAGTGTTTTCTTTTCTGATTTTTCCGGTGTGACTTCCCCTGCCCTGACAATTCCAAAAAGCCAAAAACTTATTTCCCGAAGCCTGCTATTCTTGAAACAGGATCACCTACTACCCAGCGCCAAATGCAAACAGCGTAAAGTCATCACTTCAGAAACCCCGCCTCTCTGAAGCGGCTGGACGCAATCGAATGGGCAAAGTTCACAACCTCGCTCATGGCCACGGATGGCCCACGCCAAAATGCATGATCCGAGTACGACCAAGAGAGCACTGATGTCTGGAAGCTCTCGGATTTCTCAGGTGGCCATACCTCGCGAAGAGCTGGTCAGATGCTGTCGTGAATGTTTCGGGAACGAGGTAACATCACAACAAAAGAAGTCCTGGCAACCTTCTCAAAATAAGGACCCTTCCATTTCAGTGGGCATATAAATGTCTTTGGGCGAGATGCATCGATTTTGCAAAACTGCTGCAAAAACTCAGCATCATCTTGGACATCAAGAAGACCGAGGTGGAAGCAAAGCTCTGTGGAGATGTTCACAAGTAAGTCAGTGTCCTTCATAGCACGTTCGGCAATTTCTTTGAACGTGCCACCGTGTAAAACGGGCCACGGAAACAGCCCATTCCCCTCAAGTGGTAGGATGCCACGAGGCTCTGAGTAGACGTCAGTCTCTGTGGCGTGCCTCAATGAGTACAGGTCCTCAACAAGCGTTGCGCAATCTCGCTGAACTTGGTGCAGCGCATCAACAGATGTGGCATTGACGGGCGTTGCTGCCCCGGCTGCGAAAGACTGCGCCAGCGCTGCCCCGCGCTGTTTCTTTCTCGGCGGCATTGGTATGGGCTCAACAAAGGGCGCGGGCCCAAGGCAAAAAGGACTTCGAAACAAACATTCCACATGCCAATCTAACTCAGTACGTTCAAAACAACTTACATCTCACGCTTTGCAAACGCATACATACCAAATGCTTTGCACACGTTTCCCCCTTGACACACGCTCACACTCACAGCTGCAGCTGGTGCAAATTGCTAATTTAGCATCTCAAAGCATCACTTGCTGTAACGCAAGCAACCTTCTTCCGGATTGAAACAAACTAGATCCCTGGTGCGCGCAAACCAATTGCACTGGGCAAGAAGGTCATGCCGCCATGAGAACAGCAGCATCTTACTGAGGGTCACAAAGTGAGCCACCATGCCACGCGATCAGCGATCCAATCACAAAAGCGCTGCACACAGGTGCGCTAAACCTCAAAAAGACAATCTATTTACCTCAAGCATTGAACGATGTTTGAACAATTTTGAACATGGCCTCAGTGGAATTTGTTGGTTCGCAACCTGAGGACAGAACGCATTCCCTGCCATGTTGCTGAGCTGGCTTGCTGTCAGGTTCTTCATCGAATACCGGTCGAGCTCAGAGCGGCCTACTCCTTGGAGCCGCGCTTTCTCCTGCCCCATATTTCTCCGCAGGAGCACACACTATCAAAAGCTAACTATATATATATATACATATATATGTGTCGAAATAGTCTATCTATCTCTCTTTATATACCGCCGAACAATATCGAACACCTATGTTGCTCAAACCAAAACCTCACACCTAAAAGTGCACGAACAGGTTCGGGCAACAAATCGGTGCAATCAGGAAAATAATGTCCGTCCTGACTGGTCAAAATGGTAAAGCGGCCAGTGATGACATACTTGCCATTCGGCAAGAGACATGGGCACAGCCGGGGATTGGTCCGGCTGTAGGTGCTGCGGCAAAAATTCTGGTCCTCGAAGGCGGCAGGGTGCGAGGCGCAAACACTATTGAATTTGGGTTCAAATTCAAAAGGTTGCATGGAAGTTCTTTTTTTGAGCATATGGTCACGCAAAAGGTGGAAAATTTGATACAAACAACACCCTAGGGTCGACCTGGATAACGTATGTCTCCGAGAACGGACACTTCCCCATATTCTGCAACTCCGTCACCGCGACCGACAGGATCGCCAATTCCCTCTCCGTCAAACTCAGCTGGAATCCACGGATTCTCGAGCGATTGGGTTCAACATCCGCCTCAGTCCATGGTTAACACGGTTGCTATTAAAATACCGTGTTCTCTCAGCAGTTGAGCCGGCCCTCAATTGTTTTGGATTATGAAACTTGAGCCAGGTTTTGTTTCCCGTTTTGTGGGTAGACCTTTGCTTGAAATCGCAAACATGTTTTGGCATTGAATCCCAGTTGCACCATTGTTCATAGATTGGCAAATCTTTTTGAAGCCCTTGCTCCACTTGAGCTTCAAATCGCTCCTCTTCCTCTTAGCCGGGTCTGCTCTCACGCGCCCACGGGCAACATCGCTGGTACCAGGAGGGAGGAGAAAATTCTCGATATCGTAGCTCTTGCACTTGAACAACTTGACAATGTCCAAGGGGTTGCTCTGAGGCCTGGTGCCAAAACGGAAAAACCGCACGCGCAAATGATTCGACATTTCACAATCGGTCCAGCTTTTAACATGATTCCTGGTGCTCACAAGGCTCGAAAGTTCACAGCCTACTCCGCAATACGCAAACATTTATCATACATATATATATAATAACAATAATAAGGTTGCAGCTTGGGTACGTGCCACTCGGCTCAGGCTCCAACTTCTTCTTGTAGTACACCGCCCACACCCGAGACCGCTGCTGCGCCAGTCCGAAGTGGCTGGAGCAAAGGAGTTCGTGAAACGCGGCGTACCCCCTGCGCTCAAAAGCCTCCCCCTGAATTTGTATTGGAACTTCATTTTCAAATCGCTTCCTGCTGTGCTGCATTGCAGCTACGTTTTCAGCGCAAAGGATAGTCGGACGAGCGTAGTCAACGAAGCGCATCATACTCTGGTACCCTCTGCCGGAAGTGCTGCTCTCATCCCTGAAGGACTTGGCAGAATGATTCTGCATAGAGAGCGATTTGCATGGGTACCCCACCAAGCAAAGTTGCACCTCGCACAAGGGAAGAATCTCAAGTCCACATCTAAAAGTGAAACTCCCAGCAATAACAAACGAACGGGTCGCGCAATAAAGAACAGAACGCATTGCTTTTGTTGACGGTCCTTGGGAACATGCTTGTACTCTCCGCTTCTGTAGTCTCGGGCCCAACCACTTCCCAACTCAGTCATGTCCGCGAACAAGAGTGGCTCACCAAACGCGTTTGCCAAATACTTCTGCTTGAAGGGTTCGTTCTCGCAAAGGAACTTTACCACGAACTGGCAGGGGAGCGGACACTGAGAAACAAATGAGGGACACTGAGAAACAAATGGTGGGGGACTGGGTGGTGTCACCGGGATGGTGGGTGGATCTCGCGCCCAACCCAACCCAACCCAGGCTCGATTTTGTCACTAGTCCTCCAGCTCCAATGGGCCGGCGGCCCCATCGTCCTCCGATTCACCGTCACACTCAGAGCGGCTCGCAGGCAAACAATGAATGGTCCTAAACCGATTTGGTTTTGACCATGTGCGTCCCATTCTGGGAGCATCGAGTCCTTGAATGCCATACCGTCTCAGATTCAAATAAGCAAAAGATGTGGGTCGGGGCACTTTTTGCAGCGTCCCATCCACCCATTGAGTGAGATAAGCCAAGGCATCTGGGTGAATGCTCTTCTGCCTGCAGCATTGCGGTGCGTAGGTTTGGATGTTCTGGCGAACTTGCTCTCCAATTGCTCGTCTGTTTTGATTTCCAACTGGCTGCTGGAAAGCGTTCCTCAACTCAAGGCAAACTCTGGCAGGTACCAAGCAAATCACTCGAACGGGCTCCGGGTCTGCCATCCACTTCTTGATGAAAACCAAAACATCTGAACCGTGGGGCACATGGCCAGACAATTCTTCCACTTGACAACGGCCAAAGGAAGAAGGATCGCAGTCCATTCTCAAGCAGAACCGCAACTGACCAACGTGTCCTCGAAACAGTTGCATTGGATGAGCCAAATCACAAAAAAACATTAACACTATGACACCACAAAATAAACACTGCGAGTTTATCCAAGGCTCGCAGGCCCAATAAACGTATTCCCAAAACCTGTCCCCAGGCTTTCCACTCAGCCACTTCGTCCAGCTTCGAAGCTACCGCCCGAACTTTAACCGGTTTGGCTTTCTTTCGGTGAAGTTCTCCGCTCAAAGCTGGTCTAAAGGAAGAATCCATCAGCTCCACAACTTCTAGCGGTGTGCTAAACTCATGTCGGCTTATGATCGCGGCTTGCTGGGAGAAGATTTGGTCTAAATCTTCGTGGCCTCATATTTCATCTTTGGCAACTGGTATAAGGGGGAAACAAGAAAAACATGTTCTTGAACATCAAAATCGCACCAAATCACAACTGAGCAACTGTGGCCAACTCGTAAATAGTTGACCACAACCCACCGGAAGGCACCCAAGGTTGGGAGCAAGCTTGCCCATGCCATGAAGAACTGGTTCTTCGACTCCCTTGTTGTGTTATCGCAATGAATGGATAGACCATGTGGGAGAGTACCGTGTCTGTTCAAAACATTGTCTATTGTCCTGCTGAGCGCTTCAACACTGCAACTTGAATTTTTCAAAACATCTGCGTCTGATACGTAGAAGGATATCATCTCCCCATGACACCAAACTGCACTGACGTGCAAGGAAGGACGCCAGAGCTTTGTAAAGGTCTTTGAAAAGCGACCTCGAATCCTTGGACATTTGTACTTCGCTTGGTCCATCCCGTCAGCCATGCAAGTCATGACTGACTGGGATATTGACAGAGTTGCCAACGCCTGCCTGCTTCCCATCTGAGCCATTGCCTCAAAAGCAGCCTGACTGAGTGATCTAAACGACCAATAAATTTGTCTGTCCAGCCATTGAGCGATGACATGGCGCTGATGGTCTCGCTGAGCTGAAGCTTTGGCCTCTGTAGTCTTTGCTGCGGCAATCTTTTGCCGGAGGGAATAACATTGATCACACTGAGCGTGATCCCCCTCCTTTCTGAATCTTAGATGCCCCTCGCGAGCCCCCGGTTTGAGGATGGGATTGCAAACTCGAAAAAACTGACTGTGGGATGCTGCACGCTCTCCCTTGCTTTCGCAATATGCGACATAATCCCAGTACAACTCCGTTCGACTAGTGTGGGGAAGGTAGCGGACAGCGCCCCTGAATGTCCCTGGCCCAATGCAGTTCACGTCTGGGTCACTTGTCATACTTTGCAAAGACAATGTGAAGCTATTCACCAGCCGAGGCAGCAAATCAGTGTCTTTGTCTTCTTTCTCAGGAAACGGAGACTCGGGCACTCTTTCACCTGGCACAGCGAAGCCAGTGGGCATCACTTCTGCAAAGCGATGGTATATATACCAAAACCACATCACCACGTTCTGCCACAGAGCTTGCTCTCCGCCCCTGATTGTGAACTTGAACATCGGGTGCCTGGGCAGGCGTGGCCTGGAGGAATTGGTGAACACTGCTTCGCCTCTACGAAGTTTCCCAAGCGTCGAGTTTCCGACTCCAATGAGACGGGCCAGTGCCCCTTTGCAGACTTCGGACCCTGCAAACATATAATGCTCAGGCCTCCTATCTGCATAGCGTGCACGCTTTGTAGCAGGAGGTGTGTCCGCGCACTGATCCACTTCAGAGTCCGAGCCAAAAACACACTCGCCTGATCCAGAAGTGGGGAAACATTCCTCTTCTTCATTTGAAGAATGGAAACACTCTGCTTCCTCCGGCGAAGATTCAAACAGCTCCTCTTCATCTTTGATGGGCTCGGTCGCACTACCATGATCAAAAACCGTAGTGCCACCTCCACAATTGAAAGCTTCAGACAACCACGCCTCCTGGACCAAGGTCGTGTGTTCCAGATTGTATTCCAACACCGGCGAAGTTA